AGTCTTCATGGCTTCCAGGAGGAGTGGTTATGGATTGGAGGAGAGTGGCAGTCAGAGGACTTCTTTCACGAGCACCGAATTGATGGGATGACAATCCCCATGTTAATTCATTCTGGAGCCAGTGAGTTTGTTTTATTTTTTTTTTCAATTCGGATATATTTTTCTGATTTCGGTGTTGTTCCGTGTACTAACAGGTCGGAACTTTTACTCTGTGTAGAAAAAGTGACTAAGCAAAAAGAACCGAAGTTAAGTCCGGAATTTGGTGGGAAGTTGATAACTTTGGCCGTTCTGGATAAAGAAGATAGGGATTATCGCAAGCTCTTAACAGACTCGAAACTTGAAGCGGCTGGTTTGTCTCTGGGAGTTACTACATCGAAGTTTGACCCCGGTAAGATAATTTTAACCAGTAACGATGTTGTTGAATTTTTCGTATGCGACGAAGAGCTGTTCGTAACTTTATTTATCCTTTGTCGATATACAGTGTATTATCCCCTCCTCGGTTTTCTGGGTTATAACTCCGTCAAGGAAGCCAAGGAGTTTAGGCGTAAATTTCCGAATAGAGACCTTCAGTCCAAAGTTGGTAAGAGTCGGGATTTAAGATTGAACGACGCCATGAGGAGGGATCTTGTTCGTGCGTTGGTGAAGAAGACTGCCGGTCAAAAGAATACTGGGAAGAAGTCGACCGAGGTGGGGTCGAGTGCGACTTCGGCCGCCATGCCTGAAAACCCGAAGTCCGTGCCAGACGTGGCAACTACCGAAGTGTTGTCGGTAGTGGAGGCTGCAGCGATTAACCAAGCAGATCCTGAACCAGTCATAGCTGGGACCGAAATGATTACGGCTGAGGTTGCTCATACCGAGGTGCCACCATCTTCTCCGAAGTCCCTGGAGTTGGAGCAACCGGAGAAGAGGAAGAAGAGGAAATTGGTGAAGATGGCAGATGTCGGAGCTTCTTCCGGAGTGGAGAAGAGATCGAAGAAAAAACACGACTCCGGTCGCAAAGCTGCCGAGAAGAGTCATGATGAATCTCCCTTGTTCGAGAAGTCTTTTCTAACGATTGATGAAGAACGGGCTGCCAAAGTTAAGGTGCCCGAGGGTGTTGTGGAGGATTGGTTCACTACTTTTCTGTCCGTGAAGTCACCGCATATGTCGTCAAGAATCGAAATGCCAGAGAATGCCAGAGACGCTGCTCGGGTTCCGTTGATGGTTTGGGATCCCAAATCCGAGGTGGGAGTCTCTTCCTTATCCAGCGTTGACAAGCTGAGCTATGCCAAGGCATGTGTTGGCAGGGCCTTGGTTAGTTTGGTGGCAGCCGAGGATGATCATCGCCGGGTTGCGTCTCAATTGGAAGGAAAAAAGGACGTCTTAGCCGCGCGTGATATGGTGATCGTCCAATTGAAGGAAGAATCCGCCAAGGTGGAGGCCGAAATGAAGGGCCAGATTTCTGAGAAGGTTGCCGAGTTGAAGAGGGCAAAGGCTGAGACTGTGACATTATCAGAGGAGAAGAAGGCATATGAGGCCGAAGTGGCAGATCTCAAAGCACGCCTTGCCGTGGTGGAGCAACATTTCAGAATTTCTGAGGCTAAACTGGCGGAAACTGAGAAGGCCTTGTCGGAGGAAAAGGCTAATTATGATGCGGCTCGCAAAGAATGTGCTGAGAATCGTGAACTTGTTGGTCGGCAAAAAGACGCTCATCAGGCCGAGATGGCCAAACTCGAGAGGGAGAAATCATCTTACGGCGAGTTCATGTACACGAATGGTTTTCAGGCCGGGAAAGATTCGGTTGTTGCTGAACCGAAGTCCGGTGGCGATGCCAAGATGGAAGCTGCTGAGGCCGGTGAAGATGATGAAGTTGGAGGGCCCGATCTCGAGATTGAAATGAACACCTGCCTGAATCTGAGATGGGTCATTGAGCGCTATGATGCTGGCTACTACGATATTGACGACCTCCGCTTGTTTCTGTTCCATAAATTGGAGAGGTACGGATTTGACTCGGAGATAAAGGGAATGCATGTGGCGGCTGATGAAGATGAACGGGATTTCTGTGTATGGATGCTCCGTCGTTCGGAAGAGGTGAATGCAAATCCTGATCTGCCGCCACTCTCCGAGGATAGGGCTGCTCTTCTCCGACGTGCTTACGTCAACATGATCTTAGAGGAGGAGAAGGAAAAAAGAAAAGAGCTGGCCGACGTGTACCTTTCAACTCTGGCCGAGGTGGAGGTCGAACAACATTTCGATGACATGACTCCGGAGCAGATTCAGAGCCGAGTTAAAGCTTACATCGAAGAGAAGGCGAGGTCGGCCGATAAGGAGGTTGAAGTGGTGAAGGTAGTCACGCCGGCTGAAGATGACGCAGAGAAGCTGACTGACCCTCGTGATGATTTCATTCCGGTGCCAGATGGGGCTATTGAAGCTGTTACTAAGATGAAGGAGTCGCAAGTCTTGGAGCGACTATCTTCTGGGACCGAAGTTAGAGAAAGCAGCGGCACCGGGGAGAATGTGGAGAAGCCGACCGATGAGGTCTGAAGTTTATTTCCTGTTTTTTGTTTTTATTGTTTTGTGTTATTTGCAGTATGTAATCGGGGTGCCGGCATGTCGGCATTCTTAGTAGGAAATATTTCGAAGTTTGCAATAAGTAATCGGGGATATCAGATAGCCGATTCCCTTAGTAGGAAATATGTAAGGAATTTCCCATCTTTTCAGAATATATATATAAAGTGTTTGCGTACTTGTGAATTTGATTTATGTTTGCTGTGCAATTTTCAGCGATTTTGTCAAAGTGTTTTGAATTCGGTTCGCATTGTGAAATGAACTGCTTCAACTCGGAATTATTTAAATTATGATCCGAGTTGTAAGGTTTTGTAAAAATAATCTCCGAATTCCACTTTGATCGTTAATAAGAATCTCAGCCACAAGTGTAAGTCGATATGCGAGTTTTCAAATAACTTCGCGAACTTAACACATTTTTAGGGCTGTACGGGGAATAAAATAAAAGTCACCGAACTTCGTCAGAGTCCGATTATGGAATGGCCCCAACCGACTTATATGTTGTGTATTCGGTAATATTCGGGGCCCGTCAAATCATGTTTGTTGAAATGACGTTTGACGAGCATCACCCCCATCCGAAAATATGTGGTATTCGGACATATTATGGGGTATCAGCTAGACCGAGTGTCGCAATGCTTACATAGGCATGATATATTCATATAACCGAGTTTCAAAAGGTTTACATCGATATCGAGTTTGTTGCTCGACTTTTTAAAAAACGCAAACTGACAGGTTTTTTAGTACACCAAAAGGGGTGACTTCATGCATTCACCGAGGCAAAAGAAGGTCCGTGCAAAAAAAGGGGGGGTCGACTATGCGACTTCAGATCCTTCACTGATAGAATTTTTTCAAGAACACTGCATTCCAGGGATATTGATGTGGTGTTCCATCGGGATGAGCAATCCGGTAGGCCCCATGAGGTAGGATTTTAATGATTTGAAAGGGTCCTTCCCACCGCGGTCTGAGTGGTCCGGGGTCAGGCCCCATTATACGTTTGAGGACCAAATCTCCGACTCGGAATGAACGGGGTTTGAGTTTAGAATTGGTATATCTTTCATTTCTTTGCTTGTACGCAACATTCCTGAGTTCGGCCCGGGTACGGTGTTCTTCAAGTAGGTCCAGATCAGCTTTCCTATTTTCCGAGTTGGCCTCTTCGGTGAAATGCTGAACTCGGTATGTCGGTTCTCCGAGTTCAACAGGAACCATGGCTTCTGAACCGTAAGTTAAGGAAAATGGGGTCTCGCCGGTAGACGTCCGAGTGGTAGTCCGGTAAGCCCACAGGACATGTGGTAATTCCTCAGGCCAAGCTCCTTTGGCGGCGTCAAGTCGGACTTTGAGACCGTTCTTTATGAGCTTGTTCACAGCTTCAACCTGGCCGTTGGACTGCGGGTGGTAAGGCGATGAGAAGAAGTGTTTGATGTTGTATTCTTCGCACAGGGATTCAAGTCGTTTGCCTTCAAATTGTTTACCGTTGTCGGTTATGATGGAATTCGGCACCCCGAAGTGACAGATAATTGACTTCCATACAAAATCGACGACCTTCTGTTCGGTTATCGTGGCTAATGGTTCGGCCTCGGCCCATTTAGTGAAATAGTCGATTGCCACGATAGCAAACCGGACACCTCCCTTTCCGGTGGGTAGAGGGCCTATAAGATCAATCCCCCATTTGGCAAAAGGCCACGGACTGTAGATCGATTTGAGTTCTTCGGGAGACTGATGAACATTCAGTGCAAACATTTGGCATTTCGGGCATTTGTGCACCCATGTGGTGGCGTCGGTTTTCAAGGTCGGCCAGTAGTAACCCTGTCGCAGGATTTTATAAGATAATGCTTGTGCACCGAGGTGACTTCCACAAATCCCTTCGTGGACTTCTTCAAGAATGTACCGTGAATCAGTTTCACTTATGCATTTCAAAAGCGGAACGGAGTATCCCCTTTCGAACAGAGTTCCGTTGTCTAATGTGTACCGAGCTGCCCGAATCCGAAGTGCTCGAGCTTCTTTTGGGTTTGGAGGTAAGGCCCCCGTTTCTAGGTAGTGGATAATAGGATCCATCCAAGTTGGTGATTTTTGTGATGTTACCGGATTGATGGTCGTGACCTCGGAAAGGGCAGTTGATGGTAGTTCTTGCTGGCCGATTTGGACGTACTTCGCACTTTCCATCCCGGTACTGGACGCAAGTCGAGATAAGGCATCTGCTTGAACGTTAAGAGTTCGGGGGATATGCTCGAGGTCGGCGGAGAATTTCGATAATTTCCGTTTGGCTAAAGAGAGATAGGGCGTCAACCGAGGTTCTTTGACTTCATATGAGCCATTGATTTGATTGACAAGGAGCTGGGAGTCTGAGAAGACTTTGAGGTGAGTCACGTTTATGGATTCTGCCAAATTCAGTCCGGATAGCAGCGCTTCATATTCGGCTTCATTGTTTGTTGCCGGGAAGAGGAACTTCACCGAGTGACAGAATAACCGATTTTCTGGATCAGCTAGGACTATCCCTGCACCTGCTCGGTTAGCTATTGAGGAGCCATCAATATAGAGGACCCATGGTTGATTATTATAATGAACTGTGACGGCCGGGGTAAACTCGGCGATAAAGTCAGATAAGGCTTGAGCCTTGATTGCGGTCCTCGGTTGATAATGGATGTCGAATTGTCCGAGCTCAATGGCCCATTTAACCATGCGTCCCGAGGTGTCAGGTCGTTGTAGGATTTGCCGAAGTGGATACGAAGTGCGAACAGTTATAGAATGCTCTTGAAAGTATGGTCGTAATTTCCGGGCTGCCATCACAAGCGCAAACGTTAACTTTTCCATCGGAGGATAACGTAGTTCGGCGTCGTGCAAGGCTTTGCTGACGTAATAGATAGGTGATTGCGTCAATCCCTCTTCGCGTATCAAAACAGCGCTAATGGCAGATTCACTGACTCCGAGGTATAAGAACAACATTTCCTCGGGTTTCGGCTTTTGCAAAGTTGGGGGAGAGACCAACGTCTCCTTGATACTGTCAAGAGCTTTTTGGCATTCTTCAGTCCATTCAAAACGTTTCCCTTTCTTGATTGCTTCGAAAAACGGCTTACAACGATCTGTAGACTTGGAGATGAACCGGTTGAGTGCAGCAAGTCGGCCAGTTAGGGCCTGAACACCCTTGACCGAGGTTGGGGGAGTTAGATCCTGAACGACCTTTATTTTGGCTGGATTGGCTTCAATTCCGCGCTGGCTAACCATATAGCCCAGAAACTTTCCGGATTCAACTCCAAAAGTGCATTTCTTAGGGTTCAACACCATGGAATAAGATCGGAAGATGGCGAACATGTCTCGAAGATGTGTTATATGATCAGATGCGTGCACCGACTTGACGAGCATGTCATCGACATAAACTTCCATAGTGTGACCGATCAGTGTTGCGAACATTTTGTTGACAAGACGTTGATACGTGGCTCCGGCGTTCTTTAATCCGAACGGCATCCTAGTGTAACAATACAGACCTCGGGCCGAATAGAATGAAGTGTGTTCAGAGTCCTCGGGATCCATAGGAATCTGGCTGTAGCCGGAGTAAGCGTCCATGAAACTCATCAACTCATGTCCGGACGTGGCATCAACCATATAATCTATATGGGGAAGTGGATAACTGTCTTTTGGGCACGCCTTGTTGAGGTCGGAAAAATCAATACACAATCTCCACAACCCGTTGCTCTTCTTGACAAGAACAGGATTTGAGACCCACGTCAGGTATTTGGCTTCCTTGATGAACTTATTGTCGATGAGTTTTTTGACTTCTTCTTCCAATGCCTTCTGACGATCCGGCCCCAATTTCCTTCTCTTTTGCACAACAGGCCGGACTGTTCGATCGAGGTTTAGTTTGTGGCTAGCGACACCGGGGTCGATGCCCTTCATATCCTCGTGCTTCCAGGCAAAAACATCAGAATTCTGTTTGAGAAACGAGATAAGTTCTGACCGAAGTGGTTCCTGGAGATGACTTCCGATGCGTAATGACTTGTGGAAGACTGGTTCATCGATATAGACCAATTCCACGTCTTCTCCAGGTTCGGCTCGATCAGCTCGACTTTTTTCTTTAAACAATGCTCTGGGGTCCAACTCGTCTTCTTCAAGAAGTGGCTCCTTTCCAGGTCGGCGACCTCGGTCTTCGGTTAAAGAATCCGAGGTGGAAGGATCGCCGACGTGATTTTTTGGTTCTTCAGTCACCGCATTGTCTGGAGCGTGCTGCTGTGGGGAGGCTTCATTATTACCCATTGAAGTTGAATGAACTCCATTGGATGGGATAAACGTAACAAGTTGTCGAGCTTCTCTTTGATCTCCGAAGTGGGTTCCTTCTCCCCGGGTTGTCGGGAACTTTAATGCATAGTGAAAGATAGAAACTGCAGCTCGAAGTTTGTACAATGCCGTTCTGCCGATGATGGCGTTGTACTCATTATTAATATCCATAACCTTAAAAGTTTCCATGACGAGTTTGGTGACATTCTCCGAGGTGCCAAATCTGACAGGTAAAGTAATTTCTCCGATGGGCTTTGAAATACTGCCATTAAACCCTTGGATTTGATCGTTGCAAGGACGGATTTCGGCGGGGTCAAGGCCCATCTTGTCAAAAGCTTTCAACATCAAGATACTTGAATAGGCCCCAGTGTCCACCATGACACGATGAACAGGAATACCGCATATAGGGACGGTAATAACCAGTGCGTCGGAATGAGGATGAGCGAAATGATTAGCATCCTCCATATTAAAGGTTATGGGGCAATTCCGATTGTTGAGAATATCTCTCAAATCGGTAGTGTAAACCTGTTTGCCGGAGTTGTGCGCTTGTCGGGCATATGCCTTGACCTGTCGACGGGACAACGTACTCCGGGGGTTGTTGGTATTGACCCGGTAAACAGTGATTTGCATCGGTTCAGGAGACCTATCTCGTTTATGTCCTCGGGAAGTTCCAGCAGAGTTAGAATCAGACGTCTCCGAGGTAAACATGAATACTTCCTTATCTCCCTGTCGGATGCGTTTTGTCATAGCACCTCGGTCTTCCTCATCATCTTCATCATCAAAGGGTTCGATCTGGCGTCCAGGACCTCGTCTCTGAGGATCAGTATTACGATAAAATTTTCTAAGCTGCGGATGGCCGATTAAACGCAACAATGCGGCCAACAAATTCAAACACTCGTCAGTATTGTGCCCTGGCGACTTATGATAATTGCAATATCGGGACTTGTCCAGTTTTTCTTCAGGCATCCGAAGTGGCTTGGGATCCGGCAAAATGC